AGAGGGCATTTTATATGGAGCACAAATGGATTAAAGAGAAAATTAGATGGTAGTAGAAACCATCTTAGCGTCCAAGAAGAGACAGTCTTAATACTTTGCAAAATTGACAGGAAGATTTTCACTTCAGTGTTTTAATTTTTCTCCTTACAGTTTCATAACAAGACAAACTTTTCTTACATACACTTTCTTACCCAGCTCCAGGGTGCCTGATTTGAGCTCCGCTCACATAATTAGATGCAGGTTCACAGGTAGTTGGTGCCATCCCTGTGGTTTTGTCCAGGCAGCCTCAGATCACACAGACCTGCCAGCTGTACTTGGCTTTTAATCCTTGACAAAGGATTCTCATAGGGTTGTGTTAACTTAGTAAAGGAGAACTTTTTTCTGTGGGTAGTGGTTTCTCTGAAGGAGTTGCCCCTCATCCTGAAATGGGAGATGAGTGTTTTTTGTGAAGGAAAATAATCCTTCTAGTCCTGGAGTATAAAGCCTTCAAATTTAGCCTAGAGCATTTAAATTCACACTACACTACAACAATTGTCACCCTGGCTCCTTTCCCTTGAGACCTCACAGGTAAGATAAGGAAGAAAAGGTGTCCTAAGATTTAGAATAGAAGGGTTTGGATATATGTACACGAATTCAGCTTCGTGGAAATTAGAATCATCATGATAAAACAATCTGGGCATGTCTTTAAAGGTGTTTCAAGAAAATTTGATTTCAGGAGTGGGGTCCTGGACTGAATAAACAGGACAAAGGAATTGAACAACCAGCATTCCTGTCGCTAAGCTTCATGAATTCTCAGTGGACAGCTTCCTCACTCCCTGTTGCCATATCTTTCTGTTCTATGACAGAGGTTCACCCACACAGTGAGTCAAAATAAACCCTTCTTCCCTTATATTGGTTAATTTCAGGTACTTTGACGCAGCAAGAAAGATTACTAGGGGGTTAGAGAGATGGCTGCTCAGTGGTTAAGAGCATCGACTGCTCCTACAAAAGACCTAGGTTCAGTTCCCAGTATCCACATCGCAGCTGAAAACTGCCTATAACTCTATTTCTAGAGGATTTGACCCTCTCTTCTGGCCTCCATGGGCATTGCACACACAGTTGTGCTTCCATACATACAGGTAAATCATTCACACACATAATTTTTTTAAAAAAAGAAAAATAATTAGTACAGTTGATGATGTTGATGGTGACAGTTGGGAAAGTGACCTTTTAATTGTTTTCCCCTTCGTAAAATTTAATTTTACAATTGATTTACTAATTAATGTGAGTTTCACCTGAGCATTTGTCTCAAACTATATATTATAGGTAATCATGTTATTTCAACATTTAGTCCCAAAAGAATAGTATTGAAATTTTATCTTGAATAAGTCAGTAACTTCCTGTTCTAAAAGATATATACAACACATAATTTCCAATTACCTTTGGAAAAAAAATTTAATAAGAATATTATGTGCCAGAAACTGGAAAGAATCAATCTGAGTTTCAGTCAGGGCCACATACCCAAAGCTAAACTTGTTTAAGCATAAATGAGTCAACCTTCTGTAGCGTACTGGGAGCCAAGGGCAATGACAGGATTTGTGCTTAGATTGTTCTTTCAGTAGATTTGATCAAACGGTATTAATGTGATTTGAACTCTGAAATTCCAGCCCAGCCTTAAAAAGTGTTTTACTCAATTCCCCTGCTACCTGCAACCACTAAGTTTAACAAACATCCAGTTCTAATCCATTAAAGTTAACAACTTTCAGAACCATTAGCCATAACAACTTCCTCCATTAGAATTGTTCATAGTAACCCCCTGTGAAGAATTTATACAAAAAGCAGATGAAGAAAAAATAAATACTTGCAAATCTTTTAACTCTCTGAAGGTGGTGGAGACAAAGTTTGTGTTTGGGGCTATGTAAATGTGCATTACACTGAGAAGAGCTCAGTACACTGAGACGAGCTCAGGTGAGTCCATTAGAGGATTTTCTCTAGGTATTACTGGTTTCAGGCCACGAATCCATGCCTTTGTTACCAGGTTTTATAACGCCAACTTTTTCTCAACCTGGAGCTACAAACCACTATTGGATGAACAGATCCAGTCGTGAGGGAGGCTGGAGATGTACAGTTATTGGTGTCAATTCGGTGCTGCTCTCTTCTACCAGCCCCCACCTCTCTTCTCTAAGAATCAGCTATTCTCAAGACTACCTTCAAAATACGCATACATTTAAAAGGTCTTCTTTGTCTCACTGGACTTGTGGTTTTTGCATTTGGGATTTGGGCTGGGCTTTAGTACTTCTGGGAGTGGTGTAAGATCATTCTGTGGGTCCAGAGTTTAGGACAAAGTCTGTCAATATGTGGAAGGGGTATGAACAAGAGAAAACAAGGGCTGAGATTAAATTTTTAAAAAATTTTTATTTACAATAAAAAATCTGGGTATTTTTTGTTTTGTGTAATGCTGATGGCCTGGTATTTATTTATTTGTTTGCTTGTTTATTTGCTTTTTTCCCCTGAAAATTTCATGCATACATATACACTTTACTCTCATCACTACCCTCTCTCTCACACTGCTAAACCCACACTTCTACCTAAAAGTCCCCTTCCCATGTTCATGTATTTTCGTTTTCTTTTACACCTGCTCAGATCATTTATTTATTTATTTATTTATTT